TATTGGCAGAGAAAGGAGCCTGATGCCGGGGACAGATGTGATCACAGCATCCTCCTACTGTATTCTCCACTTGGTCCTTGTGAGGTTACCATGTGTCCTTTTCATTGGACTAAACATTCCTTACCTACAAGAGCCTGACTACTTGACTACTTGTTTTTGGAAGAACTCACTATGGCATCATCAATGATGCCAGAAATGGGAAAGATTCTTCATGAATGCATGAAGGGTGCAAAACAAAAATCAAGAGCAGACAAGCACGGGGAGGAGGAGGCTGAAGGAAGGATTTATTTTTATCATGTTTAGTTTTTTATGACTTGGAGATGCTCCTCCAGATATGTCTGAAGGCCAATTAACACCTCGGAAAACTCAGAACAAAGTTGGGGGAGAATGTGATTTCTCATGACAGGATCAGGCGCTCAGGAACTTTAACTCAGTGGGATGAGCTTTGGGCTTTTTCCTGATGGGAGGCTGGCACTGTAGTGATGGGATCTTATATGAGTGCTAGTTCAATTCCTGCTTACTCCTCTTCTGATTCAGTCCTCTGTTTGTGCGCTGGGAAAGCAGCAGAAGATGGCCCAAGTGCTTGGGCCCCTGCTATCCATGTGAGAGACCCAGAAGAAACTCCTGGCTCCTGGCTTTGACATGGCCCAGCCCTGGGCATGGTGGCCATGGGCAGAGTGAATCAGTGGATGGAAGATCTCTCTTGGTAACACTTTCAAATGAATAAGAAAAAAATTGTTTATAAAACACCAGCTATATATAATTACTTATTGTATAATATGATGTCCAGAATACTCAAATGTTGAAGTTCTTGGATTGCAGAGTTTTAAAATGTGTTTCCCCACACCAAACCCTTCAAGGTGCTGATATAAACCTAGTTTTGAATCATGAAATGGAGCTAAGTCACCGTACGCCTCCTTTTCTTTTTCTTTTCTCTCTTTGTGCTGGTTGCAATGCTAGCAATTCTCTTTATTTTAATTTTGCTGGCAAGCACATTATTCCCAATTCTTGTTTTCATGGTTCTTAGGCATTTTGGGGAGGGATTGGAGGATGCAGCCAAATCAAATGTATTTTGGATGTCCAAGGGTTTAAGTCAATACAGAGAGAAAGCTTGCCTTGCTTTCTTGCGTGTTGTCTTTGAAACTTGATGAAGAGCTTGTTTTTGAAGAATACTTTTCACATCAGAAGAAACCAAATAGGTAGGTGCCTGGGTTGGGCTGAGGTTCTGTGGCACATAGAGAGAGAGAAGAGGCTATTTCACACTCTTTGGGAGATTGATGCTTTTGGAAAAATTTGGTCATCTTTCCAGATATTTATCCCTGCAACTCTCCTTGTCAGTTCAGATAGGGTCTGTGACAACTTCACCTGTTGTAGCTACACACAGGGTACAAAGCAAGCAGTAGGCACTGGAGATCCTGAGTCTCCTCCCTGGCCTTCTTCCCGCTTAGCTGTGTCCCAGTCACTGGCTGCCAGCCTCCTGTGAAAACCTCAGCCAAATTCCACATTTCCTGCACCCTCCTCTAACCCCCGAGTCAATGTTCCCTACTCACACACTGCTGGCCAAAGTGAGGCTCAAAGGGAACAGGTGCTACCTCAGGTCCAAGTGATCCCAGTAGTCTCCTCCATGCCTGCAAATGCCCAGAGTTCCAAATGGCCAGAGATGGGCACCAAAAACAGCCCCCTTGGCTTCTGAAGTCAGGACAAAGGGGTGAATGACTTCTGAAGTCATTCTCGGGGTGAACTGTGAGCCAAGCGCACACACTTGGAGAGATGCTTCCTCATCTTGCTGAGCCTCCTCCATGAAGATCTTAGCTTACAAAGGGGCACACGAGAGGTGATGGCTTTGTCACACAAGAGTGAGCTGCATGGTAAACTGCTTTCTGGGTACCATTTCCAGCTGCAAATCTGTGTTGTACTTAAAAGAGAGCTTTGGTTAAAAACGATCTCTAAGAAACTTCACTGTGTTGAGTTCAAAAAAGCTGAAGATATAATCTTTTGGGCAGGTGTTGGGGTGTAATGCTGCCTACAATACCGTTTCAAATGAACACCAGTTTGTGTCCTGGCTGTTCCACTTTTGATGCAGTTCCCTGCTAATGTACCTGGGGAAAGCAGCACAAGATGGTCCAAACGCCTGACCCCTGCATCCACACTGGGAGTCCCGAATGAAGCTCCAGCTTCCTGCTTGCTTTGGATTAGCCAAGCTTCAGCTTTTGTGTCTGCTTGGGGAGTAAACCAGCCATTAGAAGATTTACGTGTGTGTGTGCGTGTGTCTGTGTGTGTGTGCTTTGCCTGGCACTCCATAAAAACATACGTGCTTTTTTAAAAAATGTAACCAAACTAACTGAGGAAACACACTAAAGCCAAATCCTCCTAGGTCACACAGGGCTCCACCACAACCTGGTGGTGTTTGAAGTGACGGCTACTGTTGCCTCTCACGCTTGTAGGGGTTTTATTTCCAATCTCGGAGGGCAGCAGGAGGCAGAGTGGCTGCTCTGGTCACAAGGGCTGAGTCCACAGGCCCTGGGGAAGGTACACTGCAGACTGGCATTGAGGAAGGAACCCATCACAAGGGCTCTGGACCCAGTGTCGGGGTGCTATGATTCACGGAAGTAATTTCCACAGTTAAGGCCTTCTGGAAGATGGTCTCCCCTTGCTATTCTCAGCTGTTCTTTTTCTTCACAGAGGGGAGAATCAGCACCAGGAAAATTTGGGGTGCAGGCAGGTGTGTGGGTGCAGAGGTTAGAGACACCACAGAGGAGGCCCACACCAGAGAGCCATGTGTCCATCTCATCTAGTTCCCTGCGAATGCCTACCTTGGAAGGCAACGGATGATGGGCCATGGTTCCTGCTGCCCATGGGGGAAACCTGGCTGGAGTTCCAGGCTCCTGGCTGTTTTGGCCATGTGGAGAGTGAACCAGCAGCTTTTTCTCTTTATCTCTGGTGTAACTAAATTGAAGGTCATGGATCATGGCCACCTGACAGATCAGTGTTCTTTCTCGACCTTGCTGCCTTGGACAGCTCCAGGAGTGAAGCCATTGGCTCACAGAGGACCGTGTTTGGCCTGTCTCAGCATGCCTCTCCCTAATGACCTCACCAGGCTGTGCTGGGACAGTCATGTACCCATGATGCAGTTCATATCACCAAAGACCACCATGTAGCCCCTGTGGTGCACACACCAGCAACATGCACTTACTCACACTTAGGAGCTTTCACCTTAGGTTCTGGCTTCTCCATATGCAGCCTGGAAGGCAAGAGTGTTGGTTCAAGTTCTTGGGTTCCTGCCATGCACATGGAAAACTCAGATACAGTTTCCGGCTCCTGTTGTTTTTGTTTTTTTCCCCTGGCTCAGCCTTGGCCATCTCGGGCATTTAGGGAGTGAATCAACAAATGGATGATCACTGTCTCTCAGATGAAGATAAATCAACAGAAAATTTTCGAAAGTTTCTATCAGGCACTGATGTTCAGGTTAAGTTACTGTCCATGACACCAGCATCCCATTAGGGCACTGGCTCTTGTCCCGCTACTCCACTTCCAATCCAGGTCCTTGCTAATGAGTCTGGGAAAGCAGTAGAAGATAGCCCAAGTACTTGGGTCCCTGTAACCACACGGGAGACCCAGATGAAAGCTCCTGACTCCTGGCCTTGGCTCAGCTCTGTCCTGGCTGTTGTGGCCATTTGATGAGTGAAACAGTAAATGAAAGAGCTTGCACTGTAACTTTTGTCAAATAAACAAATAAACATATCTTTTTAAAAGAGTTCACATCAACATTGGAAACAGCAATAGAGTTTTTTTCAATACTAAGAGCCCTGCAAGGGAGCAAGTGAAATCTACAAACTCTTCATACCTGCTTGAATCCATTCTTTCCCAAGAAAGCACGTGCTGGGTTTGTCAAGGGGAGATTTGGCTGTGGTGTGCGCGAGCCAAACTGATGGCTTCTGGGCGTGTTCCCTTCCTCCTCTGTGCATCTCCACACATGAGAATGAGAAGGATGGGTGAGTGGGGGTGGGGAGGAGCTTGAAGGCACAAGGAAGATGACATCACCAGCACAGCTGGCACACAGACCCTGATCCTGTGTCATGAGTATCTTGTCACGACGTACAAAAGATGTGAAGTGAGGCAGAAAGCAACTTTGCAGTACAAAAGAGGAGAAGGTGTAGTAGAAGGATGGATAGACGGAAGCCCACTGCTGTACTTGCAAAAAGGTCTCCATAGCTCGCAGTTCTGGAGTTCCAGGAGCCTGGCACCTGCTAAGCTGTGGTGGTGGGGGTCTCGCCACAGGTGACATCACAGTGGCAGAAGTATGTGCAGGGTTTGGGGGGCAGAGAACACCCAAGAGAGCTCTGGGAAGTGCCAGGTTTCTTCCCAGCAACTCCTCAGGGGCATTGATCCAGTCCCCAGGAGACCTGCAGTCAGTCTTCCCTCCTGAGGTTGATAGCTCACGATGTCACCACCTCCCATGATATCACCCTCAACATCCACATGACGCCACCATCTCCATCATGACATCATTACACCCGTGACACCACCAACGCCACATGTCATCGCCTCCCTGTGATCTCATGACCTCATCACTTCCCTATAACATCCCTTCCCCATGATTTTTATCACCTCCTCATGACCTCAGCACCACCCTCTATGACATACCACTTCTTCACATCATCATCTCATCACATAACATTATCACCCAATGACCTCATCACCTCCAACAAGCTTCACCTCTGGATGCTACCACCTCAATCCCAGGACCAGAACGCCTGTAGACAATAATAGTAGGGGCGCAGGTAATGGTGGTGGGCCTCGTGCCGCTAACCCCAGCCTGCCCCTCATACTGCCTTGCCCCAAACACAGTGTCCACTAGTGTGATTCTTCAATGCTGGGCAGCTGAGCAAGAAAGCCTTGAAAAATCAGTGCTTTCTGAGGTCTAGTGGACGCTGGGATGTGGGCCTGCTGGCCCACGGGTACAGGGAAGGAGGGCCCCGTACGGCATCCCCAACACTCACCCAGAGACCTCTCCTTGGTCTGGTTGGTGGAACGCACCACGGGGAGGCTGGCTCGAGTCCGGCTGCCTCGGGAGAAGGGGCTTGGAGCGTCGCCCTCAGACATGACTTCCAAGGAGTCGCCCGATGCCTCCGACAGGTGTTCTACTGGGTCTGAGCTGAGCGGCTGAGGGCTGTGAGACAGCTTGGGGCTTCTTGTCTGCAACACACCAATCAGAGAAAGTGGGGAGAGAGACTGTCAGCCAGGATGCTGTAAACCATGCCCACCATCACCACCACCACTACCACTACCCAGGCCTACCAATCTGGATGAGTGGCACAGTGATCCGATACAGCCCTCAAGAGAGCTGGACGGAGAGAACAGCAGCCCAAGCCCATGTAAACCCCAATGGGAACTTAAAATCCGGTTTCTGAATGTTCCACGGAGAAGTTCATCATGTGCATCTACAACACAAATGCCACTGGAAGGGAGTATAAGCCCTGGGCGCTGGAAAAAACCAATGTCAAGCCAGTTCCTTTGCTGCCGTGTTTCCACCGTTGTTACGGTAGCATGAGAGGACACCGCATCCACACTTCTGCACACCCAGGATAGACAAGGAGCTCACGGCCAAGTCGCGGCATAAGAACCATGTCCACCTCCAGGGGAGGGCGCTCCTCGCATCACCATGATATCTTTTGATTTTGAAGCAGAAATCACCAAGAGGGTTGTCCAGCTATTGACCTTAGTGGTTTACAAAAAGCTTCTGTGAGAATATCCCCCGGTCATTGAATCAAGTGCTTATCCATCTTATATAACCTGACAAAACGGAACTGATCTCTTCCTTATGTACACTTACACCCTCCCACATAACTGAACTGCTCTCCTACTTCTCCATACTACGTACACCCATGTAACTGAATTGATTAGTTATCTGGATAGTAGATTTAGGGTTGAGTGTGTTTTCATTCACAATCTAACAGTCAACCATCTTCCTTGAACGTGAGCTACAGGCACTGTCTACCACATATGAGATTCAGAACAACAAAAACAAGCAAACAAAAAACACGGATATGTTGAATTAAGTCCAAGCACTTTTAGACAAATTGGTCAGATTTGTCAAGTCCCACCCAAAGTACCAGAGATTGTGCAGTTTAGTGCAACAATCCACTCTGTGCCTCACTCACTCAGGCTGCCCAAAGCCTACTGTGCACCCAGCCCTGTGCAAGGTACTGAGGACAGAACAATGCACAAAACAGACACAACTCCCACTCCCTTGGGGCTTGTGGGATGGAAGGGGGGCGTATCAGTTACAGCTCAGCTCAGCGACAGGCGCAACCCAAATGTGTGCTTCAGACTGCACAAAGTGGTGGATCTGGGTAGACTCTCAGAAAGTACCAGTTCATGGCACCGCAATGCTAGCCACACTAACAAACGGTTCTTGAGCTCATATAGCATGGTCTGGGACTAAAGACAGTTGGACAAAAAGAACTAAGAGGTGTTGGCACTACAAGTGAGTATTCAGGGGATCTCAGCTGATAGTAAAGGGAGTGTTGGGAAGGAAGGGAGAGCTTGTGTGAGAGTCAGGCTGGGAGTGGCCTTGAGCCAGCAAGTGCCTGGTCACCAGCCCCAGCCCAGCCTCTCCTGACTCTCCCAGCAGTAGCCATCTGCTTCTCAGTAGCCTGATATACTATGTCCCCCTGCAAATGCAATAAGCACCAAAATGGTTTCCTGAGACATCCCTTAAGTTACACGTACTATAGCGACTGCAGAGGAGGTCATAAGGAGGGGGTAGCAGACTAAGATGCCATTGTCCACAATGCTGGCATCCTTTGTCACAGTGCTGGCAGTGGAAGACAGCTCGTGAGGGAAAGATGCTGATGGGGTTTCTAGCTGCTGGCTGCAGCCTAGGTACAGCCCTGGTCACTGTGGACTTCCTGGGAGTGAACCAGCTGAGTGGAATCTGTGTCTCTCGGCTTGTCAAGCCCATCAATCAAGCAATGAAATAAAGGAACCGGGCAGGCAGGCATGAGGTCTCATGCTCTATGTTTATGTTCTCAATACTGTGTGTGACCCCAGTCCCATGATGCTCATTGCTAAAAGGCGGTGGGGCGACCCCTTGATCCCCCCCCCCAAAATGATCACTCACTGAGGTTATTTCATTGCATATCTTATGCTGGATTGACAGATAATTGCCAAAGAAAGGAGAAAGCGAGAGCTGGAGCCACAGACGCTAATTTTTTCTCCTTTCATTTTCATTTCTAGACCCTTGAAGCTCTTCCCTGAACTTTCCAGTACCCAAAGAAGGGCTGCTAATCCACAGGGGCCTTGTGAGGCACAGTGGGAGGGCAGCTCATGCCAGGCCTGCCCTGCGCTGCTGCTGCAGACCCTATTTTGAAAGGACAGATCAGCAAGCTGCTGCCTCAATGACGTTTTATGTTCTGCTCATGAATGCCTGAGTTGCCTTAGTAGAGAATTCAGAAATGGAACGAACCTTACCACATACAAATGCAATGGGAGGGGCTCATCTGCTCACCCTTAGCAAAGGGTGGACTGAATGAAGAAGGGCTGTCAGAAGTTTTGCTAGCTGCAGAACAGTGGAGTCACGCACACAGTGGGCTTAAGTTTTTTCTACTGCTCCAGCTCTATGAACCCAGAGAGCTAATGGATTGGTCCAACCAAGAGCCCAAGCTGCTGAGTTTGCTTCCTACAATCCTCGTGTCCCCTGCTCCTGACCATGCCCCCACCTGTATCCTTGCCATCTCTGCCCCTTTGCCAAACCTTTCAAGGTTGGGCAGGATGGCACACCCAGCTCACAGTGGCCCTTCCCTTTTTCTATGTACCCCACCCCCACCAGGCTGCTGGCCATTCTCGGGATGTGTATCTGGCCTTCGCCTGGCTTCCCAACCATTCAACAAATTTTCTGTGGCTTACGGCTAGAAGGCCCCAATGCTGACCACAGGATCATGGCCAACCAGGGGACCAGACAGAGGATAGCTACCATTCCATAATACAGCAGATGCACATGGCAAGCAGCAGAGAACAATCAACAGGCCCTTGGAGTTAGTTTCCTTGCAAGCTGGTAACTTTTAAGAGGGCTCAGCAGGAAAGACTCAGAGAGAGATTGTGACAGAGGGGAAACAAACGAAGTTTGTTTGACATGGAAAGCTTGGGTGCCAACAAGACACAAAGACACACATCCAAGGGTGCACAGCAGTATGCAGGCACCTGCCAGGCTTGTTACCAGTTAGGGTGTCACAACAAGATGCATAGCAATATCCAAGGACACCCACCCAACTGCCCAAATGCCAGATGGGCATACTGCCATGCTTAAGCCAAGCTGGAAGAAAGAGCATCTGCTCTTCTAACTGAGGGACAGAGGGAAGCCATGTGCCCAAGGCCTATTTTGATGACTGATCCTCGAGCCAGCCCAGTTTCTGGCAGGCTGAAATTTCAACACGTTCCTCCCTGGTGCTCCACCCACACAGCACCCAGACCCGATTCACGATTTCCACCTGTGAAAACACAATGGTGTTTGCGCTGGAGCAACATCAAACTGCTCGGCAGCTGGGCAAGGCACAGGCATACCTCGGGTTTCCACGCGATCCTCCCCGAGTGAACAACTGTTATCGGATCGGAGGTGGAGCAGCAGAAGCCGGTCTCCCCACTGCATGGCCCAAAGTGAACCATTCAGGGCCTTATCATTTTTATCAGCGGAAGAATCACTTGAATAGCATGGTATTGTCAAAGAGGAGGACAGGAAGCTTTTCTCACAGCACAAGGAGTACCTAGAAGCACCCTTGTCTAGGGTGTCCCTGGAGGTAAGCAGAGCCATGCCTACTTTTGCATGTGCGTTCTGTGCTGGGAGATTCAAGTGCTTGCAGGGCAGACACAGTCTGGGTTCTACAATGTGCAGAACCTGAACCAGGAACGCAAGGCCTCCCAATCCCCAATGAAGACGGTTTAAAAAACAAAAAGGCATCACTACCCAATTATTTGGGACAAGCAGATGACACTTTGCATCTCTCTGCAACTTAACATGAGGATCCCAAAATGCGACTCCAGGGAAAAGCAGAATGCCACCTGCACCCTGTTTTTTGTGTCTTTTTCACTTTTCAGCTGTCGCTGCCCATCTGGTGACCCTCTGAGAATGGGGACATAAACTTGCTGCTGAGAGAACCCTCCACCAATGGCTGACTCCTCTGGAAGCCGGATTAGCGGACAATGAGGAGGCCTAGCTGCTTTCCTCTCTCCTCTGCCCCCTTCCCACCAGCAAGGAAGTGGGAGGGCCACCCTCAGCATGCACGTGTTCATGCAGTGAATGCTGAGTGCTGTGTTCGATCAGTAGAAGACTGGAGAGTTACTGCCGTTGGTCAGCTAGCACTGTAATGTGCGTTCCGTTCCCACTCATGGGGGCATCAACAATGTTTGAGAGTTGCAAATGACAATGAGCAAGCATCACTTCACTATTAATGAAAAATGATGCAACTTTTTCTTTTTTTAAAAAAATGATTTTTATTGGAAAAGCAGACTTGCAGGAACCAGGAGTTTCTTCCAGATTTCCCAAGTGTGTGTGGGTCTCAAGGTTTTGGGCCATCCTCTACTGTTTTCTCAGGCCACAAGCAGGGAACTGGGTTGGAATCTGAGTAGCTGGGATACAAACTAGAGCCCATATGGGTTCCCAGCGCTTGGAGGTGGAGGATTATCCAACTGAATCAACGTATTGCAAAAATGGTGCAAAATACCACACACAGACTTGGCATCTGCACTCATCCCTACTCCCTCCTCCAATGAGATTTTCACGTCTGATATTTAGCGCATCTACTTGATAAGGGTAGATGTCTCCTTCCTGCAGGTAGCCTTGAGTCCATCAGTTATGTGGGTTCTTTCCTTCCTTCCAGTTCTAAGATCAGAAAGGGAGACAACTTGAACAATCAAAATGCTGAGTACCAGGCTTGGGCTCCCACTGTCCTCCTGGGGGGAGGTCTGCTAGGCAAGCAGCAGGAATGCACCGTAACAGGCTCTGCAGGGATCCATTTTTTGCAATATCAGAGAAGAAAAGAAAGCAGTGAGAGGGGATTTCACACTCCACTGTTGAGATGAGAAAGTCCCAGCTCACAAGGGCAGATCCATTCCCAAAGCAGGAAGCACTCGAGGGGTTTTTTCCCCTCTTTCCTTCTCCTACATAGTAGGGGAAGTGGGCAGCTCTTCTGGCTTGTCTT